AAAAGCATTTTTTTTTATGAGAATTCGACTTTGGGAACTGCAACGAAGTGTCGTCTTCTTTCAATCTCACTGCTGTAGGTCGTCCGTTGTCGTGTAGGACTACTTCTCGTGTGACACAATTTTTTTGGTTTACACTTTACATTTTACGTGACCTGTCGTCACACCTTCTATGAGGATCCCAGCACTTCTCGCATTCGATTCGTTTTCTACGTTCTCATCGTCCACAGTGGTCTTCGAACATTTTGCGAGTTGTTTCGTTTGTTGTTTGACGATTTCGTCTTCTTTATGAATGTCATAGAATGCTGGTCAAGTCGATTTTCCCTGCACTGTTGGAGATAGCCGGGCTAAGGGGTACCCACGTGGATTGAAGGACAGCGTGAGAAGAGTCGAACTAGCGCCTTTGCTTCCTGGTCGTTGGCACCACTAACCACGGCGCTACCTATTTTACATTAACAAACACGTGTTTGTTCGAGAAGAAAACACGAACTTATTGGTCAGTGCATTTAGGTCCTGGGAATTGCATCAATATCGGATTTCCCTACACCTCTTCTGGCAGTTCAAGCACAGTGATGCTGAAATGTAAAAACTCTGGACCGCAGAGTCTGCAATGCTAGTCGAAGCAGCCATTAGCTTTTCCGTGGGCGAACGTGTTCACTAGCATACTATACTGGCCCTACGTTTCTCCTTTCTCCCAGCTAGTTTTCTATCTAGCAGTGCTATCAGCAATCACCCGTCAGCGGGATTGATCTGTGGAGCAGAAATCACCATTGAACTCACTCTTCTAGAAGTTTTTGGACAAACGGACCACTAACTATTGTCTTAAGACCGTCGGTGCCAGTTGCTGATTTGACCACTCGACGATCTTCATCATGAAGGATCATGTCTCCAGTAATAATCCATTTGAACCACCTGCGCTGTAGGCTTTCAGAAGCGCTTTCCTGTCTAATGTTTCGGATATTTCAAGCCGCGATCGTTGTTTTATGTCCAATTTCGAATACATGAACGGAACCTATGCAACTCCCACGACCGACTTTCTTTTAACCTCGGCATTGATTGATAACTCGTTGTTTTCTTCAATAAGCAGACACGAGGTTGTTATTGTAGGTTTTATTAGGATACAATAGCTGACGTCTCGGCGTTTTCGCCTTCTTCAGAGCCTGGAAAGGTGAAATTGAGATGCGATCTACCCAGCCAAACACTTTCATAACCCTAGCAGATAAAACTTAACGAATAAATTTGTATTTGCATTGTATCTGCTGCCAGCGTGTGCACAGGTAGAGATCAGAGGGAAGAATCCTCGAAACTGGCGCGCCATTTCAAATGGTTACGAAACTGTAGCTTCTCGGCATAGGCATAGAGGAAAACCCACGCCCCAGAGCGATAGTTCTAGCGAAAACAAGGCTCCATTCCTCTTGCCATTTATTTCAAACGTAATAAGTGCAGCTATAAAACGTTGCTTAATAAGGGCCGGTCTAGAGAATTGCGTGAGAGTAATAGGAATACCATCGGACACTTTACGACGCCAGCTAGTTCGCAACCGCCTATATGACCGTCTATGCATAACGAAAAACCGCATAATTTGCCCTAATGGTAGAGACGGTGATTGCATGAGTTCGGGTACAGTCTATCTGATCTCTTGTAAAGCGTGCGGGGACGAATACGTTGGCGAAACGAGTAGACCGCCCTGCGTCCGCATAAAAGAACACCTAGTCGGTAAATGTAAATTAAAAGCAAACACTCCACTAGGCGCGCATAGGATTCAGGAACACAACGGAGAAGATTTTGAAGTAGGAGTCACCATCCTCACGCAGGAATCCAAAACGTCGGCGCGTAGAACTCTTGACGCGTTCTGGATCAATTCCAAAAATTCAAAAATGAACCGCAAGGAGGAGTGTTTTGTCGTCACGCGTGACCTGGCGCCATACCTCATGTTAATCCAATGACCTGACACAGGCACAGTTATCGCCCATGTATTACTCTGTGCGGCTGCTATCCGTCAACTGACTTAAATACTTACAACAAATAAGCGGTAGGTGTTTAAATGAAGCTGTTTCTTATGCGAATACAAATTTATTTGTTAAGTTTTATCTATTGGGGTTATGAAAGTGTTTGGCTGGGTAGATCGCATCTCAATTTAACCTTTCCAGGAACCTATGCAATTTTCATATTTTGAGACAGTTACCGCTTCACCCAGCTTGAAATCACTATGAAGTGGATTTTAGAAAAAGCCCTATGTGGCAAGTTATTAGGAAAGATTTCACCTATATCACTCCCGTTGATCGTCGAGTGATTCGATAGAGCGCCAGTAAATCTTCAATTTTTTCTTATCGCGTGCAAGAGTAGTCCAGTGGGTTCTGCTGGCCCTAGAGACTCGTCAAGCATCAAGAAGAGAATCAAGAAAGAATTAAGCTTTAAAATTACATGGATCAACAATTTTTGTAACAAACAAAATATTTAATCCTAGAGTTGTTTACAATATCAGCACAACAAAAATGGTCATTAGTTTTTAATAAATCTGTTAGTTACAAGCGAAGCACTGCAGTGACGATCGGTAAGTGAAGCATCTCAGTTGTTTTTCTTGGCATAAAGTCGTTTTTCGGAGGTTAATGGAGTTCTACGAAATGCTAACAATAAAATATGCTTAATAATTCTGTAACTGGTATTAATGGTAAAGTAAAATGCTACGAAAATTAATAAAAGAACAGATAACAGGAACAATACGACGTCAACAAGGAAATATTGGAAGACATTCAGCTTGTCGGCTCCAGAACGAGCATGTGGCACCTAAAAAGTAACATTCACCGGATTAATGTAACAGTCTTAACCTTTTAATTTACTGCCTATTCCTTTTAACGGCAGGGTATTTTGCGAAATATGACTATTATAATGCTGAGATAACGTTGCTGAGATCTTTGCAAAACTCTGGACCGCAGGTGTCTATGATGGGGAACGAACGCGCTATTGTCCTTTCCGGGGAGTAACGCGTTCACCACCACACCATGCGGGTCCTTC